GTGTGTGTGTATGTGTGCGGGCACACGCATGTGTGTGTGAGTGTGTGTGTGACTGTGCATGCGCGCGTGTGTGTGTATGTGTGCGGGCACACGCATGTGTGTGTGAGTGTGTGTGCGAGCGGGAAGAATGACGGTAGATTAAGTAAGCACTGAAGGGTGTAAGCAGATGGCAGGTGATGGGAGTTCACTCTTCCATTCCTGCTGCTTTTGCTTGTGTGTGGAAATCTCTACATTAAGAAGTTCTCAAGCAGGGTCCTTCCTTGGTAAATCCAATTCAACAAGCGTGTACTGAACACGAGGAGGTGTGACCCCTCTGGGGACGCACTAGCGACCCATACTTTGTCCCCGTCCTCAGGGAGCTCACAACCACATAGGGCGAAGGAGCGGACCGGCGCTAAGTACATCCTTCCTTGTGTCCATGTCCTTGAAGCCCCTCCCATTATGAGGCAGACTCTATATCTCCACTCCTTGACTTGCTTTGGCCAAACATTAGGCAAGCATCAGGTTGAAAGCTTTCACACCGGTGCCTGCTCTCTCCTGCTGCGGAGCCTCATGGGGGACAGCAGACCCGGGGGGGGGGGGGGGGGGGGAGGCCTCAGTTGTCCCCACCATCCTAGCGAAGGCTCCAGCCGTGTTAGCAAGGTGGCCACCCCAGACTACCCAGCCTGGCTGAGCTGACCCAGGCAACGCAAAGAATAAATAACAAGTGTTTGATCTAAGGCGCTATGTTTGGTGTGGCTTGTTACGTAACAAAAATTAACACGTACAGTAAGTGAACACATCTATACTTAGGGTCAACGGACAGAGGTGACATTGGAGATGGAGAAGCTTGGGGGGGGCGGGGGGGGAGGGCTACAGATTCACAGACCAGGAACATACGCTTCAACAGGTAGAAGCTTCCTTTCCTGTCTGGCTTAACAGAAGACAGGCGGGGTCCCAGATCTGCTGCTCCGTTGGACCTGTTCGAGGATGCTGTTTGGACTCAGGTATGTGAAGAAATGTGAAGAAATTCAGCATCTCCCTGAGAGGTCTCTGGAAAGGGGGGGCCTTTCAGATCACTGCAAGCATTATTCTCAGATGCTTGCACTAAAACTCAACCAATGGGAATGTCCTAAAGGAACCCGAAATCGTATCATGCTCTGTTCCAGTAAAGTCCGTGGGTCCATCTTGCACTCTGGACGGCTACTTCACCTGTGCATGACTATGTCACATGCCACACCTCCCTCATCTGAAAAAGACCGGATTCCCTGAGCGGTGCAGATCTTCCGAATGTTGAGGCATTTCGTGAAACAACATCGAAACAAAAATCTCATGTGTTAACATGAGCAGGAGAGTCTTGTGTTAACATGACCAGGGAAGCTGTCGACCGCATGGTGGCTTTCCGAAATTCTGATTTTTTTTTGCTCGACAGGGCAAATGTTATTGTGGGCAACAGATAATGCCAGCCGTGTTGCTTACCATGACTGGCTCGAGCCACTCGTTTGGAAGAAAAATGTCTGACAAACGCCCAAGCCTGTCCGCCAATCATTCAAGTATCTGGTTCCATTTGCGACTCAACCACACAAGCGCCTTTATCTCCAGATAAACACCATGCTTCACTCAGAAGGCAGCAGACAGCCTTAGGTAGACTCCCTGTGTCATTACACGGGACATTAAAAAAACTTACATTCAGGGGCGCCTGGGTGGCGCAGTCGGTTAAGCGTCCGACTTCAGCCAGGTCACGATCTCGCGGTCCGTGAGTTCGAGCCCCGCGTCAGGCTCTGGGCTGATGGCTCGGAGCCTGGAGCCTGTTTCCGATTCTGTGTCTCCCTCTCTCTCTGCCCCTCCCCCGTTCATGCTCTGTCTCTCTCTGTCCCAAAAATAAATAAACGTTGAAAAAAAAAAAAAATTAAAAAAAAAAAAAAAAAAAAAAAAAAAAAAAAAAAAAAAAAAAAAAAACAACTTACATTCAAAGGTTGAGAGTTGATAAAATTAAACAATATTATTGGCTCAGCAAGGAAATCTTAAAGGGATTTCTTTTTTAAACTACAAGTGGGTGGTGTGAAAAATCAACTATTACTAGCTCCCACTGGTGGCCTTCACCGGGACTAAAGCGGTCAGCGGTGTTTCTCAACACTCATTTCGCAATGGTGAGAAGGGTACGCAGCGGCTTCCTGTTCTTACGAAAATAGGCTCCACTTTGTGGAGACCCTGAAGGAGTCCCAGGATCCCCCAGGGGGACGAGCATCACTTCAGAGGACCGGCACGCCACGAGGACGCAGATGGGCAAACTGGTGCAACATGGAACTCAGGGCCAGGAAGCTCGTCGATCTTCCTTCTGAGATGCTCAATGTATTAAATTGCGCCAGAAAAGGCCACCTCCAGTTCCTGCCCGGGAAGCGTTTGATGTGAAGAAAGAAGGTGTGTGCGCCCCGGCCGTGGGGGTGAGCGCACCCACGTGCCCACAGAATCCAGAGCTTTTGGTGAGGGACCGGTCCTAGGAAAGACTGCCTCTGCCCTTGTCCCGACGCAGCAGCATACGAGCACCAAATCTTACAGAAATCCCATAAAGAAAGTGCCTAGCCTGTAAAATACTCCCAACAGGAATAATGCGGACAAATGCTAAGGGCTTAAGTGCTGGGCACAGCGGGTGAGCTGGTGACCGAGGCTCCCTGCAGGTCCCCCCTGCCCCGAGAGCAGAGCCTTGTGCTTGTGGCTCGGGAGGCAAAGCGGCCTCTGGGTTGGCTCCTTCCATTTCCAGCCTGCTCTGCCAGGCCTTTCTGTGACTCCCCGCTGAGAACTCAGACTGCCACCGGCTCCTTCCCCTGCCCCCCTCCCCCCAGCCATCGTGAATAAAGAAGTCAATAAGGGAATTAACTTGCAGAGCTACGAAAAGTCCTCTACGCTTTAAAGCTCTTTGGATAAATGGTCCAACCTTGGAAATTACATCTACCGCCTAAAAGACTGTTGCTCTGCGTGCACCTGAGTTGGCTGCAACATTTGCAGCACAGCCTGTAAATCACCCAATCTGAGCGCACAAAAGGAAAACAGAAATGTGTAAAAAAAAAAAAAAAAAAATCAGTGACGTCTTAAGAGTATCTACACAGGGGCGCCTGGGTGGCTCAGTGGGTTGAGCGTCCGACTTCGGCTCAGGTCATGATCTCAGAGCTCGTGAGTTCGAGTCCTGCGTCGGGCTCTGTGCTGACCGCTCGGAGCCTGGAGCCCGCTTCAGATTCTGTGTCTCCCTCTCTCTCTGCCCCTAACCCACTCACGTTCTATCTCTGTCTCTCTCAAAAATAAATAAACAAACAAAAAAAGAGCATCTACACAAATAAAAAACATCGATATACGGGAAACATAATACACTATTGTGGCCACAGTAAGCATTGTCCATGGGAACATCGTCAGTTCGAATCAAAGTGCCTTCAGCGCCCCCCCCCAAACCTCACCAGCACAGCCCAAATAACATCACAAAATAAATACATACCCACTGTGTTTGTGCCATTTCCTTCATTGACTCTGTGAAGGCGACGGCAAATCTAGTAAAAGTGAACAAAAATGAGGAAAATAATTAGGGCAGAATTCAATTAGCATGACCATGGAACAGCTCTTTGGGACCACTGGTCAGAGACAGCAAGGCGCTGAGTTTCAGGTGCTATCAATCTCTATCACGTGTGGTCAGAGGCCATCAGGTTTAATCTCCACGTGCATCGAAACAAGTTGGGTGTGCAAGGAATAAACAAATGAAGCTCAGAATTTCAATTTGTTGTTGTTGTTGTTGTCCCTGCCATGCAAGGTCAGGGAAGCCGGGAAAAAGCCGGAAAGCCAGAAGCGGGAGACGGGCAAAAGATCCAAGGACAGGCCATCTAGCCCTGACTGCAGCACAGGAGGACGGTGCTAACGTCTTCAAAGTTTACTGAAGGCGCGTGGTCACGGAATGTTCATGTCTACCTTCACTGAGCAATGGTGTTTCCAGAACTAGGGCTGGGTACACACAGGATGAGCCAGGAGCATCTCAGGGGGGCCCCCTGCCGGGAGAAATGGCTCAGGACTGGTGGGGCGTGTTGAAAGCATCCTCCGGGTGCTTTGCCCAAAGTGAATCCTCTCATTTGGCAAGCAGGACCGCCCCCCCCCCTCACGTGAGAGTATCGCTCCGCGCTGGAGGCCCCCAGCCCTGCACTCGTGCCCGGCACCCACACAGCGGCAAAAACACCCTCGGACTGAACAAACCAACCAGCCAACGGAGGTGAGTCCTGCCGTCCATCCCAACAGGAAGAGCAGGTGCGTGGGCCCGAGCGCAGAAGAGGGGGGTCGGGCACCCTCGCCCAGGGGCTGTCCCCGCCCACCCCGCCCC